ACACTAAACTATACACTACACTATACACTACTATACACTACACTATACACTACTATACACTACACTATACACTACACTATACACTACACTATACACGACTACACTATACACTACACTATACACGACACTACTATACACTACACTATACACTACACTATACACTACACTACTATACACTACACTACTATACACTACACTATACACTACACTATACACTACACTATACACTACACTACTATACACTACACTACTATACACTACACTATACATTACACTATACACTACACTATACACTACACTATACACTACACTATACACTACACTACTATACACTACACTACTATACACTACACTATACACTACTATACACTACACTATACACTACACTACTATACACTACACTACTATACACTACACACTAGTGCTATACTAGTGACGAATTGGCCACGTTCTGTTTACGTGACAACCCCTTACTAGTTAGCCGTGTCGGGTGGTGGCGGGTTTTCACGACACATTTATATATTCACGCGATCTCACCTACCAATAAAAACCTCTATTATGCACAAATACCTCGCTGCTCATCTCGTGGAGAAGTTCTACAACCATCACCACGTGACACTCAGCCAGCCCATCCTGGCAGCAGCATCAGCAGCAGCATCAGCAGCATCAGCGGCATCGGCAGCAGCATCAGCGGCATCGGCAGCAGCGGCGGCAGCATCAGCAGCATCAGCAGCAGCATCAGCAGCAGCAACAGCAGCATCAGCAGCATCAGCAGCAGCAGCATCAGCAGCAGCATCAGCAGCATCAGCATCTGTAGCAGCAGCAGCAGCAGCAGCAGCATCAGTAGCAGCAGCAGCAGCAGCAACAGCAGCATCAGCATCAGCAGCAGCATCAGCAGCATCAGCGGCATCGGCAGCAGCATCAGCGGCATCGGCAGCAGCGGCGGCAGCATCAGCAGCATCAGCAGCAGCATCAGCAGCAGCAACAGCAGCATCAGCAGCATCAGCAGCAGCAGCATCAGCAGCAGCATCAGCAGCATCAGCATCAGTAGCAGCAGCAGCAACAGCAGCAGCAGCAGCAGCATCAGTAGCAGCAGCAGCAGCAACAGCAGCATCAGCAGCAGCAGTAGCATCAGCAGCAGCAGCATCAGCAGCAGCAGCATCAGTAGCAGCATCAGCAGCAGCATCAGCAGCAGCATCATCAGCAGCAGCAGCAGCAGCAGCAGCATCAGCAGCATCAGCAGCAGCAGCATCAGTAGCAGCATCAGCAGCAGCATCAGCAGCAGCATCAGCAGCAGCAGCATCAGCAGCAGCAGCATCAGTAGCAGCATCAGCATCAGCAGCATCAGCATCTGTAGCAGCAGCAGCATCAGCAGCAGCATCAGCAGCATCATCAGCAGCAGCGGCTGCGGCTTTTGGCTCAAGGACGGCGTTCACCGCTTTCAGCTGCGCTCCTGCGGCCGTCTGGAACGCTCTTCCTTGCGATGTTAGGAAGAGAAGCCACTCGAACTATGCACTTCTAAACTCACTTCTTTAGAAATGTTTATTCTTTTTTTGGCTGCGTTTGGTTTGTTGTCCTTGTAAACAGAACTTGCAAAATTAGCGAACCATCTTCTTGGTTCTTTCGGTAAAGTCACGTAGAAGGGAAATAATAAAATAATAAAAATAAAACATAATACAATTCTCACGACGTTTCGGCCACAACGCAAGCAGCCGTCCTCAGGTGAAGAACAGGGCTGTCGGAAAGACAGCATCCGACAGCCCTGTTCTTCACCTGAGGACGGCTGCTTGCGTTGTGGCCGAAACGTCGTGAGAATTTTATTTTATTATGTTTAATTTTTATTATTTTATTATTTCCCTTCTACGTGACTTTACCGAAAGAACCAAGAAGATGAACCTCTAGGAACCCACCGTGTCGGGTGGAGATGGGTGTACGACACAAAGTTACACTTACGCGATCTCTAACCCCCCCCCCGCCCTCCAAAAAAGAAAACCTCTTTAGTATGAATATCAAACACGTTCACAGACCCTGAGCCAGACCCGACTCAACATTACAGCGGTATCGCTAAGCGTTTAGAACAAACACACGCATTTATATGATGCTGTCTCATTTGGCGCTTGTCTCCCAAAGCGCCGGGCTGCATCAGATTCCACCTCGGGCGCTTTAAGCGTGACCACCTCCGACATTTGCCAAAAGATGAGCGGCATATTTTTAAAAAAGAAATGTAACACTCGCTATATTGCCAAAAAAGTAAGGGGATCTGTCCTTAATGATTCGGAAAAGTAAGAGCCCAAACCGGGCTCTTAAGTGGAGTTGCCAGGTTCCACGCGTTGTCCAATTAAGTGTGAAATGTCAAACCAAGCGTGTGGTGGTGGGGTGTGTAAATGGCATTCCCTTGACAGCTGCGGGTGATGGCATCGGATGAGTCACAATCATCACGGCTATTGGTAGAGCAGATGAATTGTCTTTCAAGGCATACGTGGTGTTAATAATTATGTAGCTTATTTATTTAAAGGCGCCCCACTGTGGTTGTGATGTTACCTCCCTAGCCTGCTATGCAGGAGGTCGGGAGTTCGATCCCGAACCTGACGCCTGCTGATGTATATTTGGAGTTTGCGTGTCTCTCTCTCTCTTTCTCATCACCATCATCATCACCGTCATCACAGTGGTTAGGAGATGTTAACTACCTCGCCTGGTATGCAGGAGGTCGTGGGTTCGATCCCGACTCTGACGCCTGCTGCTGTATATTTGGAGTTTGCGTGTCTCTCTCTCTCATCACCATCATCATCACCGTCATCACAGTGGCTAGGAGATGTTAACTACCTCGCCTGGTATGCAGGAGGTCGGGAGTTCGATCCCGACCCTGACGCCTTCTGCTGTATATTTGGAGTTTGCGTGTCTCTCTCTCTCTCTCATCACCATCATCATCACCGTCATCACAGTGGCTAGGAGATGTTAACTACCTCGCCTGGTATGCAGGAGGTCGGGAGTTTGATCTCGACCCTGACGCCTGCTGCTGTATATTTGTAGTTTGCGTGTCTCTCTCTCTCTCATCACCATCATCATCACCGTCATCACAGTGGCTAGGAGATGTTAACTACCTCGCCTGGTATGCAGGAGGTCGGGAGTTTGATCTCGACCCTGACGCCTGCTGCTGTATATTTGGAGTTTGCGTGTCTCTCTCTCTCTCATCACCATCATCATCACCGTCATCACAGTGGCTAGGAGATGTTAACTACCTCGCCTGGTATGCAGGAGGTCGGGAGTTCGATCCCGACTCTGACGCCTGCTGCTGTATATTTGGAGTTTGCGTGTCTCTCTCTCTCTCATCACCATCATCATCACCGTCATCACAGTGGCTAGGAGATGTTAGCTACCTCACCTGGTATGCAGGAGGTCAGGAGTTCGATCCCGACTCTGACGCCTGCTGCTGCATATTTGTAGTTTGCGTGTCTCTCTCTCTCATCATAACCATCATCACGGTGGCTATGAGATGTTAACTACCTCGCCTGGTCTGCAGGAGGTCGGGAGTTCGATCCCGACCCTGACGCCTGCTGCTGTATATTTGGAATAGGCGTGTCTCTCTCTCTCTCTCCCTCCCCTTCGTCGCGTGGATCTTTTCTCCAGATCCTCCGGTTTTCCCCTCCACATTTAGAATCGACGTCGCGTGTTTAGAGTATTTGGCTGCTTATGAATTTCCACGCGATGATGATATCATGAGCTGTCATTTGTGGCCAGGTCGCCTCTGAAAACGAGCTGCATAGCTCAGTGGGCCTTACCTGGCAAAGTAAAAGATAGTTGCGAGTTGAGTTTGGTGTAGCAGTTGAAATTGTGTTGTAAGGGACACGGTATGGATAATAATCATGGCTTTTACACAACGGCCTAGGCAGAAAAAATCGTGAGGTCCATTACAAAATTGCAGTACGACAACTTGCGCGCAGGCCTCGGCTCGTTTAGAGGCGTAGTTTCTCTGTGTGCCTATGTTTGTCTCTCTCTATGTATCTCTGTGATATCTGTCTGCTTATATGTCTGTCTATGTTTCTGGTTCTGTGTTTAATCTCTCTCTCTCAAATTTAGCATTCTCAGAAAGAACGTAATCAACCAGATAGGGTGTTGACTGTTATGTTATCCGACTCTCTGTTGTATTACATTACATTTCTAAGTATACTAGATTTGTGTTTCTATTTAATTTATACCTGATGATGATTGCTTGTGTTGCAATCGAAACGTCGTATGCTAGTATTTAATTTAATTTATTATTTTATCTTTATACGTGACTTCACCGAAAGAACCAAAGAATAATTCCTGCAGTCACGAAAGCTCCAAATTAAGTACAAAAATAAAAGTAAAGGAGCAGCCCTGCAATGGCTCCATCACGCCACTGCTGGCGGAGGAAGGGCCTCTCCACTCGAGGGAGCTCTCTATGGTATTTGGTCTACTCCTCCACGTTGACCGGACATGTTGGAATGGGAGGGTTGCAGAGGTCGCAACCGGGTACCCGATACCCGGCTACCCGTACCCGGCCGGGTACGGGTAGCCGTTTGCGACCCTGATGCGGCCGGGTACGGGTACGGGTAGACCGTGAGTCACTGGTGAGTAACTGTTTGTCACTCATTTCCCAACGTCTTGTCTCTTCTCACAATTCAAGTTCCTAGAATCAACCCACCCGCGCCTGCAACATGGTTTCATCCCAGAGGTCGCAATCAGGTACCCGATACCCTACCCGTACCCGGCCGGGTACGGGTAGGGTACGGGTACGGCTGGGAACGGGTACCCGTTTGCGACCCTGGTGCGGCCAGGTACGGGTAAGGAATCAAAACCCGTTTGCGACCTCTGGAGGGTTGTACCCACACTGCCCCACCAAACGCAACCTGCCGAATCAACTGACTGTGAACCCGGGCGACCCGAGTTCGATTCTCGCTCAGGGCCACAGACATCGGTGACGAATATCTAAACCGGTCCTGGTTCTCCCCTAGGTCGACTCAGCCTCAAATGAGTACCTGGTGCGGTGTGTAAACAATTCTTCCAGGGAGACAGAAGGCGGCCGGGCGTGGTGCTGGCCACCCATGCCCATCGTGTGCTGTTCCGGCCTTCATAGGTGCTCGCTAGCAGCACTTGCCCCAATAGTCTGGTAAGGCTATATGGGGAATATTTGTCTTTGGTGTGGACGGAGGTGGGGGTGGGAGAACAACTGGCGGAGCTAAGAGTTGGAGGGGGAGAAGTGAGGGGGTCGATTGAGAAACTTTTCCAACTGTTTAAACTGCCGCTCCGGGAGATCATATCCAACAGGCGACCTCCTGGATTGCAAGCTCACCGTTACTACATATATATTTCGATTAAAAACTTTCGTGACTGCAGGGATTCATCTTATTGGTTCTTTCGGTAAAGTCACGTAGAAGGGAAGTAATAAAAAAAATTGAATTTATTTTATTTTATTATTTCCCTTCTACGTGACTTTACCGAAAGAACCAATAAGATACATATATATTTTAATTTACTATTTTCTTTTACCAGATAAGGCCAACTTGAGCAGCTGATATTCTAATCGCTCTTTTTTTCAGAAGCTGCATGGCTATCACGAATGATAGCCTTAACGACGTGGCTGATTGGATCATCATCATGTGGCAATTTATAGCGGCAACAGCAGCAACAGCCAAACATTCTCTTAAACCTTTTCACGAGAGGGCATGTGGCAGCATCCCTGAATATTCCCCGGACAAAAAGCGAGGACAATTGACGGCTCGTGACAAACGTTGCAGCAGCAGTAGCTTTTTGTGTGTGTATGTGTGTGTGAAAGTAAAAAATTTCGGCCGAAAAAAAGTAGTTTTTTACGTTAGCGAGAAGAGAGGTTGACAAGAGGGCACCCAATTAGCGCGGAGGCAGAGACCTGGGGAGAGGCAGTGGCAAGGCAGACAGACACTGATGGGACATCACACAACCGCCAAGAGGAGCCTCCTCCTCGTGTGCAATGTCACTTTAGCAACGACGACAACCTTCAAAAATAAACCTCACGGAGGTAAAAATAATAATAATAATAAATATATATATAAAAATAAATAAAAATCACGTAATTTTACTTATTTTTATATTAAAATTTTTCATAAATAAAATAAAAGCAGATCATTTTATGTACTTTAAATCATTTATTTTATTTTTATTTATTATTTTCTTTACCTACGTGACTTTACCCAAAGAACCAAGAGTGTAAACCTAAAAATCTTTCACTTTAAACAATCAACATTTCCACGGATGTATTTTCCGTTCGTTTTTGTTCTGCAGTGGTGGCTTGCGAGGCCGAGTTCTCTGCTTTGCCCATTGTCTGGTGGCTTATATTTTTGTGTTAATTAATTCCCAACAAAAAACTGGACACCTTTAACTTTTTTTCTACAAAAGTATATGTTTTTTTTTTATTATTAACAAGACGATATCAGGCGCACAAGACACAGAGAGGATATGGAAGGGGGAGTTGGCTCCAGCACTAACCACACATTGAGGATCGCGTAACCTGTCTTAAACCGCACGTTTCAATACACTAATTCAGTAAACTGCTTTATTAAACTGTTTCGACAAACTGTTTCAATAAACTGTTTCGATAAACTGCTTCAATAAACTGTTTCAATATACTGTTTCAATAAACTGTTTCAATAAACTGTTTCAATAAACTGTTTCGATAAACTGCTTCAATAAACTGTTTCAATATACTGTTTCAATAAACTGTTTCAATAAACTGTTTCAATATACTGTTTCAATAAACTGTTTCAATAAACTGTTTTAATAAACTGTTTCAATAAACTGTTTCAATATACTGTTTCAATAAACTGTTTCAATAAACTGTTTCAATAAACTGTTTCAATAAACTGTTTCGATAAACTGTTTCAATAAACTGCTTCAATAAACTGTTTCAATAAACTGTTTCAATAAACTATTTCAATATACTGTTTCAATAAACTGTTTCGATAAACTGTTTCAATACATATTCTTGGTTCTTTCGGTAAAGTCACGTAGAAGGGAAATAATAAAATAATAAAAATAAAACAATAAAATTCTCACGACGTTTCCATTGCAACGCAAGCAATCATCATCAGGTGTGAAAACCACAGCAAGAAAATTTGAAAAAAGTGGCGTTTTTTTCTGAACGTCAGCACCACGGACAGCAACTGGCGGTTGTTTAGACGGACGAATCCATCTACGCTCGGTTAAGGAGGAGGGGGGAGATAAAGATAATAGAATGCGGTCTGAAAATCAACGTAAGCGTGAACACAATCAATTAAAACTGTTTCAATACACTCTACAACAGCCTGTTGTCTTCTTCCTAAGGTCTGATAAGAAAAAAATGGGGGCGGGGGTTGGTGACGACGACTGGGCAACTTCATCAATTTATTTTCAGTAATTTACAATAAAGATTTTTGTTCCAATAATACTGGTAGGAACCTCCTGGTTACACCAGCCCACAGGGGATTATTGTGTCCGTCCGTCCGTCGTGCAGGGAGGGGCTGGGTGGGGAGGGAGGGGCTGGGTGGGGAGGGGAGGGTGGGGAGGGTGGGGAGGGTGGGGAGGGTGGGGCTGGGTGGGGAGGGGAGGGTGGGGAGGGGCTGGGTGGAGAAGGGCTGGTCACCCCGTGGTGCCCTTATAAAACTCAACGTTTAACCTACTCACGCCGGCTTGTGCCCGCCCTCACAGTCGGGCATATTTGCTAAATACACCACGCCGCCATTGACCCTGGACATTGACCGAGCAACCCAACGTTCCTACCAGCTCCCTCCGCAGGAATGTGTTTAATTATATCCACCCACAATCTCTAATGTGAGGGACAAAGCGAACCCACCGTCCCCCCACCTCTGCCCCCCCAAAATATAAGAAGTCAAACTCCGCCTTGTGATCACATCGAGTGGTGGTCAGTCTTCTTCAGCGTCTTCATCTCGCGCAGATTGAGTCGCATGATCGCCGCCTGGTAACCGCAGACACCAACCCGAGCTGGAAACAATCACTGCGCTGCTGCTTTTCGACGTTTCGGGGATGGGTCCGTCCGGCGAGTGTTCATTCGACGCGCGCGAGCGAAAGCCTCGGAGCGCCCGGAGCTGCCCGAAATCGTTGAGAATGGGACTCTCGTGATAATTGGTTCTTTACCCTTCTATCTGGCAACAAAACTGACACCTTTTTGCAAGGAGTCATGTTTGCATAGACCGCAATACCTGCCCCGAGCTCTCATACTCTGATGGTGCATTGTCCTTGAGTTGTGCGCCTTTTGGCGTCATCTGGTCCAACCCACATGAGACTAGGCTCGAAGGAAAGCTGTCTCGGGTGTGGACCAATCAACTTCAAGGACAGTGCACATTTTCAGAGTTATGTTCTTTTGTTTGTATTATGACTGCAGGTATTGCGGTCTATGCAAACATGACTCCTTGCAAAAAGGTGTCAGTTTTGTTGCCAGATAGAAGGGTAAAGAACCAATTATCATATTTTTACTGGCAAATGAGGTCCCTAAAGGAGAGAATGGGACTCTCCTTTAGTTACTCACGTGGATAGAAAGATAAAACAAAGAATAATATATCACGACGTTTCGATCGCGATACAGGAAAAAATAATCCGGCAGTTTCACTGCTGTGTTGCCTAGGATGACACCACGGGGTTGTAGAGTTCATCGAAAGAGTTTATCGAAACAGTTCATCGAAACAGTTTATTGAAAGAGTTTATCGAAAACATTTCGATCGAAAGCTTTCGTGACTGCAGGGATTCATATTTGTGGTTCTTTCGGTAAAGTCTCGTAGAAGGGAAATATTAAAATAATAAAAAATAAAACATAATAAAATAATTCTCACGACGTTTCGGCCACAATGCAAGCAGCCGTCCTTGCGTTGTGGCCGAAACGTCGTGAAAATGTCATTGTATTATGTTTTGTTTTTTATTATTTTATTATTAAAATAAAATTCTCACGACGTATCGGCCACAACGCAAGCAGCCGTCCTTGCGTTGTGGCCGAAACGTCGTGAAATTTTCATTTTAATGATGTTTTATTATTTATTATTTTATTATTTCCCTTCTACGTGACTTTACCGAAAGAACCAAGAATATAGTTGATGGAAAACCTGTTCTTATCTTTTTTTTTTACTTCTACAAGCGCAGTCAGTGTGGCTTGTCCAATAAGTGTAACTCTGATACCCTGCACAACTAACCTTGATGCGTTAAGCGGGCGTTGCTACGTAATTTTTGTTGTATTTAAAGTTATCTTGCCAAACGACATCTGGCAATCGGGCAACATTTTTAAAGTCAACTCTTTATTCCAGCATGTCGAAAACCCGGGTCCAGAGTGATTAAAAATTACGCTTCGATAACATCGGTTTGGTTAATGGACACATAATTGTTTTTGTGTGTTTTGTTTGTTATATATATAATGTGGAGCGACAGTATGGAGTTCTGCTTCATATATTCGGCTTTAACGTGATGGATGTGACAGCAGGTATCGACTGCGCAAGGCCACGTGGCATCGTTGGTAATTGCCCTTAAATCGCAATCAGAAGAGGCCGCGAGTTAACGAGCACACACCGACGGCGATTTTATCGCATCATCGCTCGTTACTCATCATCATCATCATCAGCAGCAGCAGTAGCAGCAGCAGCAGGAGCCATGGCCCACGTGCACAGCGACAGCAAGATCCGGGGCTAACAAATCCAATCATCGTAATTTACTGTCAGAATAACAATATTAATTATTCTCATTATATGACTATCACTCATTCCTTTAAGATAAGGGTAATATCAGTTTCGATTTAAAGCTTTCGTGACTGCAGGGATTCGTCTTCTTGGTTCTTTCGGTAAAGGCACGTAGAAGGGAAATAATAAAATAATAAAAATGAAACATAATAAAATACAATTCTCACGATCTTTCGGCCACAACGCAAGCAGCCGTCCTCAGGTGAAGAACAGGTCTGTCGGGAGGACAGCGTTTTAATGAAACACCCCAGGTGTTTTATTTTTATTATTTTATTATTTCCCTTCTACGTGACTTTACCGAAAGAACCAAGAAGATAAGTAGTATTAGCTTAGGGGGTGCGGACAATCGATCAGGTGGGCCCCCCCCAATATTTATGATTGATCTCTCGCAC